CACGAGTTCAGTTATGATAAAAGTAAAAAGGGTTGGAAATGGGTATGGCAATACACTCCCACACAAAGTTGGTGGGTGGGTGGCCCCGGTGACTAGATTAGAAGGCTGTTGCTGCAACCTAGAAGAAAAAAAAAAAAAAAAAACTAAAGATGCATACCAAACGAACTTAGAAATATTCCAGTCCCCTTAATTTAGCAAATAGTGGTATTTATTTATATAACGACACAGACAAATAAAAAACCTTTGTTATGTTTCCTTTCAAACGCTCAGCGATATTAAATCAAGTAGCAGCAAGTATAACAGGCAAAATAAAACTTGCACAGCAATTTTTACTCTTACACATCTTTGACGAAAACACTTTACAAACACTTGCTGAAAACACTTGGAACAAAATGTAGCAAAAATTTATTTTTTTCAGCTCAGCAAGTGCCGCTTTTATTACTTTAATAATAATTTTCAGAACTGTTAAATTTATTCTAGACACAATTATTCACAGATATACTCTATATAGCGTTCACGGATGGTCAATTTATACTTTGGCAGCTATCTGGAACTCACTGATGAATCTGCTACTGCATTTGGCCCGATTGCCGACTGACGGCGGAAACTCTGGCAATGGAGGTAACGCCACTCTAAAAAACTTACTAAGTTATTAGCAATCGCCAATGAAGAAACTTACAAAAATAATATATTATATATATTTATAAATACTCTGTTACCACCAATGCACCTACAAAAACCGACACACCCTTTTACCCTACAATAAATGAACCCCAAATTTCATCTTTAGCCATCTATACTAAGAATGTAGAAACAATTTTAAGAATCATTTTTTTAACATGCAACAAGAAGTTAATAAATCTTTAACCATAATTTAAAAACAAAAAACTAGCAATAGTTTGTTTTACAAAAGATCTTAAAACTGCAATAGGTCGATACATATATCCACCTGCGTACTATGCAACCCTCAAAGAGTGCAGTCAACACGTCAAATAAGTTGATAATCACTTACGAGATCTCGAAAACTTAAAACTGCTGCAATACTGAGATATAACCATGTTCTACAAAAATAGGAAAAATAATTTCCTTTTTATCATTCAGAATATCTTTATTTTGTTTTCAGATATCAGAAATATTTTTTAGTTATTTTATATTTACAATCGTGATGATGACAAGTGCCGATAAAGTACCTACTATGATAAGAAAATGGCACTGATCTACCACGAGAAGTTAGTTCAGCTCCAGAAATTATGGTATTTATTAGCCTGGCGCTATTAGCATATTAGATCATTGCAGGCATGACCAAACCAAAGGCGAACGCTAATACTGACAAGCACAAGAAAATTTTTAAGGCAAAAACACCTGGACGCATTGACACCAAAAATCTGAGAAGAGAAAAACACCATGGAAAAGAGCTCCTGTAGGCCCTGAACTACGGTTTGGCCTGTCTTTATCAACAACAACAAAAACTGCCTCTGGAAAGTTATAAAAATAAAATTTATGTCATAGTAAATAAAATATTGTTGGAGAACAAGTTCTTTCGCGAAACTATGTAGGAAACTACCTGAAATCTTGCTTTAGACAAGGCAATGTAGTGGGGACTAAACTACTAATTCACATATCTCGAAGTAATTCCATTGTCAGAACATCAAAAGAGCATCGCTCACGAGCTTGGTTACCGACAAAAAGTAGCTACGGACAATCATGGGATAATATATGCAGGTCTTCTTGAGACAACGAACTTTGGAGGAAAGGACAGCCTCGCCAACTCACCTAACTACGGCACTTGTCAAGATTTAGGAGAAGGATTGGCAGTCTGGACATCCTGCAGACAATGTTATCACCGCTACATTAATTACAGGTTAGAGGATATACAAATAAAACGCATTTTTGAATGCACCAAAGAAGACTACATAAGAAAATTAACGAACCAAAACTAAAGAAAAACCAAAAAACACATGAAAAATAAAAAAAAAGCACCAAATACAAAAAAACACAAAAATCCAAATTCAAAATACCAAACAAATCAGCAAACACTTATAATAAAAGAAAAACCTAAACTCATAGAAAAATACACAAAATATAATTACAAAAAAACACACACATAAAAAACTTTTAAAATACAAAAAAATATCTATAACTAAAGAAGTAAAATGACAAAGTCAACAAAAAGAAACAAGAAAATACAACATCTAAGAACACAAAAACAGCAAAAACAGAGAAAACCCAAAATAAGACACCAAAAAAAAAAAAACACACACAGAACACATACATATACTTGCACAAATGTTTAACGGAATCCTCCAACGACAAATACCCACATATGTTTTGCAAGCTAAGCACACGAGATTTATGATGTATTTTTAATGATGTTTATTACACATTTGCCTATCACTAAAACCTTTCCTCCTTTCTCAAAATATGTACACACTTTTTCAACCCTACCGCTTACACATTAACCGTGAACTTAATTTTTCTGATCCCCCTAGTATGATCGATGGACCCATGGACCGCGATACTAACTCTGAGCACCAATCTCTCACACATCTAAGCATAAAATCGACCTTCGCACAAAAGCTGGAGGCAGAAGAAAATCTCGTTTGAAGCAACTCTCTACATATATGGTCTTAGAAACGTGTGTGCGACAAGTAGCACTTGCAACCGATACTTGGATAGCTTCATTAAAGATATGGTGATGAATGTATTACTGGGAAGATCCAAATTTATTACCAAAATCACCATTATACACCAAGCAACGCGAGCTCTTAAGGTAACCCTTAGAAACTCGTAGAAGTTCATAGAACACCCTGAGTCCAAAGTTCGTGAGCTAGAGCAATCCCTATGTGGTACCACTAACATTACATACACCACCCTTGTAGAGTGATTCTTGGTAGAACAAAAGGGCTATGAACGACATAAAACTCTTCAACGATACCAATTTTTTCTCCTGGAAATTAACCCTGGAAAGATTGCTGCTCTTGTACCATTTCATATTTCTAAGCCCAGTGAGTAAAAACTTTAAAGGGGGGGTATATCGCATCTAGTTTCGTCCACCCATAGTCACTAACATATACCATATGGCGTCAGATCGTTCTCCTGCTCACCAGCAATTCCCGCTCCGTTACTCCATCCCTGCCAAATTCAAGATCTGGCCTAGGTCTGCAGCTGAACCTTTTTCCAGGAATATGTTAATCAAATTTACCTTCACTCGTTGACTCACCATTGATCCCACCCCTGATTATTGATCCAATTGAGGGTTTAAATAAGATTGTGCCCTGTGAGCTCGTCCACTTTCCTGGAAAAGTAGCCAACCAGTAACCAAGTAGCAGGTATTAATTTAGCAAGTCATATTTATAAGTATTTATCTAACTATTTCGACTACCTTTATAATATTAGTAATTTTTGTGACTAAATAAAATGGATCTTTGTTAATTATTCAACTGAGATTTTTTTCTTGCGACATAAATTATTCAACGAAATACCCAAGCTACTTTAACGGCCAACGCAGGAGAGCTGTCAATGTTGAATCGTCCATTATTCGTAAGGATACTGGTAATTTAAAAAAAATATTTTAATTGTATTGAAACACTGCTAAACACAAACACATTTGCTGTCTGCTTGCTGCATGCTACACTTAAATACTCGCGCGCTAAAGTTACGTCAAAGATCCATGACGTAACAATACATAGAATAGCTCATTAAAAAGCTGAGTCAAATCAGTTCCCTAACTGTACTTATTGCCCTATCTTCCTTTAGTAAATTAAAAGATAATCTATTTATTCTCCTTTATTCAAACAAAATTATGAATAACTATATTCATACATCCTTTTTCAAGAGAGAAGTAAGATCTTTAAGTTTTTTCCGACGTGTTTGATTTTTAGTTGCCTGCTAAGAGTCTTTTTTGAAAATATCGTATTCCCTGTAAATTTCTGTAAATCATCTTCATTATCTAGTTATTGTACCATATTGCGTATTTTAGGCCTATAGTATCTGCCTGAAAGCTTTGGTACAACACTGCGATCACATCTAATTTTTTCTGTTGTAGTTCAAGTCCCTTATTAAATTAATTAATATTCTGGATACAAATGTATTTTTCTAAGCATTTATCTTGTAAGTCTTTATCTTAACAGCACAACTAACCAGTATTTTTAAATCTCACCATTTTAAAATGCACAAAAGGTCAAGCATTTTGTGTAACTCTCTATTATTTGGATATATTACTAATAAGTGTATTTTTACATTTGCTTTAACAGTGAATGCACAACTTAATAGAACTTGGCATGTCGTAAATTTCTTGTAAAAAAGCAAAGAATTACAAAAACAAGCTGACTACTAAATAATACAACTTTCTTCTTATGTACCATCTCTACTGATTCTCTAATTAGTAGTTCGTAATTAGCAGTCTAAAATTTGTATCCACTTATTTTTCATTTAGCAAGTTAAGTAAAGCTTAACTTGAAGCCTTATCGTTCCTTAAAGTAAAATTTTTAGTAAGATACTGGTAGTTACATGCATAAAAGACTAGCCTGCTGGGGTGAAGTTTTTTCCGCCGATGTACTCTGATTTTAATAAAACCTGAGATAGGCACAACTATTTGCCTTCTCTAAATACAGTGATATCTTTTACAGGAAGATTGATTTAAAAAATTTTAATAATAAAACAGTGAAAGAAAAAAAACGTTCAAATTAATTAAAATTAATTCATTAAGAAAGTAGACAACATTACTAGATCCCCAGTGTATTGTTTATCTTTATATACAACAACAACAAAAATTTTAGACTGCACTTTAAAAGAATAACAAATTTAAAAGTAACGTGGGTGTATAAACGTGTAAAAAAATAAAACCTTGTTAGATTGCTTATTACAACATATTATTATTACACGTTATTACAAAAACAGAAGATTTAATGATTCTTATGAGCGGTGGAAGAGCAAAGCGTTTTTTTAATGCTACTTATTAAATCAATAAGGAAATCATAATTCTATGTTAAAATTCTATTTTAATGTATGCCATCAAGAGTGCTGTACGTCTTATATTTATAAAGCTGAATTCCTCCATGTCCATACAATAGAAGTCCTTTTCCACTGTTATCGTAATAAGGGTATCGATAGTATGGTCTGAAAATAAAATATTCATTAAAAACAAAGTTACAAATTAATTTTTTTTATTACCATACCAACTATTTAATAATAATTAGAATATTTTACACTCTACCTTTCAAAATACTGGAAGTTTGGCGCCTTTGGTTGTGTCAAAGATGAGCTGCTAGGCTTCAACTGCATTACAAGTAGTACAAAAGTTATTATGGTAAAATACTGAAAAGTGAACAAAATATTTTTACTTCATAAATGTTAAAATGTTCTTTTGCAGTTCGTTTTTTGACTTGATTTTTTTTTTTTAATAGTAGTGCTATTCTCATGATCATGTGTTAAAGACAAAATAGTAGAAAACTAAAAAAAATTAGATATAGATTTTTTTTTATCAAAAGAAAATGTGTAAGTTGTACGTGAACTTGTGCAACTCGCTTCTTTTATTGGCAAAAAGTATTAGATTTATACATGCTTGCATCTTAAAATGTTTATCGTTAAAAAATTTTACTAAAAAATGCATTAAAAATACCCTGCTATGAAAGATAAATTCAAATCTACTCAGTTCGTTTTATTTTGAATTGACTTTATGTGGTCCAATCGGCTTAGAGGATACGGTCGATTAAGATAAATTGACTTTCATACGATTTTTGGCAATTTTTTTTTTCAATTAACTTTAATATTTAAAAATCGCATTAAGGTCAATCAATTTAAATCAGCGATTTGGATTAGAGCATTTGAATGGACTTTAACAGTTTAGTCGTTTGATTGAAAGTCAATAGACTTAAATCAGCATTTTTGACTTGAGCAAATCAATTGACTTCTATCAAATCATTTGCTCCTGTCCAAAATATTGATTCAAGTCAATTGATTTTAATGCTACTTTTGCCTATTAAAGTCGATTCGTTTACGAAGCACACTAGCACAAACAAAGAAAATTTTTTTTTTTTCAAAATACTTCTTAAAATCCAGTGGAATATCGTATTTAATAAACATGAGCCTAAGCTGGTTAAAAGCTGATTTAAATGAAACTTTACTACAAATGCAATGAAATTACATCTTGGGTATACGATGGAAAATTTTTAAAGTTGATATTTTAATTCAAGAAATAGATCTTTATTTTCAGTTAAATAATTAATGTATAGAATACAGATTACAGTAAGTTAAATAATTTATAGAATTACACATTTAGGAGATAGTGAAGTATAAAGATGATTTTTATAGTTGGATAATTTTACAGACAAAAATCATGGGTTATTTCTGAGATGATTCTTAAAAATATCAAATATGCATTAAAACGAAAAAATCTGAAGATTCAATTAGATATTACTCAAGATTTTTGATCCATCAACTATTGACAAAATTTTGTAACCTACTAAAAAGTTGGATCTTAAAAATGTTGTTGGGCACTCATAACCGTTTTTTCAGTTAATCAAGCAATGTTTTTGTTTCAACTACTTGTTTTTGTTATGATTCTGAAATCTTTTATTCAGTTTTCATTAAATATTTGGTATGTTATGATATTTAAATATCTAAAATAAATATTTTCTAAACATTCAGTACTTGTAAGCCAATCGAAGAGACCTTAAGCTGTCAAAATCATATTCATAGATTGCAGGCTTGCTCTGACGGCACTGTGCGTCCCCAGTGTTTCCAAACCGTGATATGGACCTTTTCGGTGTCTATTGGGGAGAATTTGCCTCTCACCATCTATTTCATAATTATGATTATGCTTAGTCTAATGAATAACATTTGTATAGTGTCTTATTGCTGTGGTGCTCCATCCGTGAAAAAATTTGTTTTTTTGATGTTGTTAAGCTTTTCATGCCAAAAACTGATTATTATTAAATAGTAACCCTAAACGGATACAGAATCACGATTAAAACACTTTAAGATACAAACCAAACTGCAATGATTTATCGTATCATTTTCATTGAAGTAAATCACGGTATTTCAAATTGTCACCTAATTATTGTTCTAATGGAAACCTTAAGCGCAGTGCTTTGAACGTCAAACCCATAATTATTTTTGAAATCTGGAAGAACTAAATACTCTTAAGACAATAGTTTGCTTTTGAGTTATCTATAATAGATAGACTATTGCTCAGATACAAATGCATGTGGTAAAATTTCTTTTACATTATCACAAAGTGCATATACGAACTCATCAGTACTTTCATCAGTACATAAACATTTCTTAAGAACCTCTACGCTTTAACATCCATTGTTTAAAGCACATACAATCAACACTCTCAAGGATTTTCAATAAGAAGTTATAATAATTTTTTGTTCCTGGAGACTCATTGCAATTATCAAAAAATATGTTCTTTTCGACTCAATACATGTCACAAATTTTATGGAATCCTTGTGTACGAGTTCAAGTGGAATTCGGTGTTTTTGGATTATTCATGTTAATTTGTGAATTTGTAAAAATAGAATTTATGTACAAAAATAGTATTTCACATACAGATTTCATATAATTATTATTGTTATTATCACTATCAGAATAAATTTAAGTGTATGGCCAGTAAAGATATTTTTTATTTCATATTTTGTACAACTTACATAAATACTTTATTTTTCTACTGTTTTAAACTTTTATTTAACTTTGTTAAAAGCAATACTTTACATTGAAATCAAATTATAAAATCGTCATTTTTACTTTTTTAATATTCATTTAAATTCCCTGAGCCAAAAAACGGTGTTATGAAAAATGTGCAGACACCCATTTGTGTGTGTATGCGTGCACATGAATGTTCTCTCTGATAGCCTCATCCACAAAAATTTCACCACGAAAGCTTTCCTAGATACACAGCAGGCATTCAACAGAGTTTGGCACGAAGGCCTCCTGTACAAGCTTATTTAGTTAGGTTTTCCACACTACTCATCGGCACCATCAAGTCTTACCTTTCGGACAGATTCATCCATGTTAAAGTAGGCCACTCCCTCTTCGAATCCCGACCAATGACCTCCGGAGTACCCCAAGGCTCTATAAACTCTCAGTTGCCCTTTTTAACATATTCTGCCATGACCTGCCCCAGCGAGAAAACATTAACACGTACGTATATGCAGACAATGTCGTGGGTATTATATTAGTGTACAGTAATAAATTTTGTTTAGTATTGTCATGTGTACTACAAGATTAAAAAAAATAAAAATATGGATTACGACTGTAATAACACAGCATATTTGAGTGCATGGGCATGCTTACACTTGTGTAAAGCTTAAAGGACACGAGTAATCAATGAAAACGTAACATAAATGTACAAAAGTTAAGCTAACCTGTCATTAGTATTTACTTTTATTGAACACTGTGTTGTAAAAAATAGATAAATATATGCAGTACTTGTGTTTCTCAAACTGCATACAAGTGCAACAATATATGTACACTTATATATATTGTGTTATCGCAGTCGCAATCCATGTTTTTATTTTTTCCGATCTTATAGCACACATGATAACACCAAACAAAGTTTATCACTGTACACTAACATAATACACACTTAAACTACTAATTCATTTGGTCAGTCCATTCTTAATAAACTTTTTTTTTAATTATTAAAAAGATTTCCTATAAGGCTCCACGCATTCTGGCGATCTTAGAGAGGGACAATTTCATTCACTCGATGGCACCACCTGACATAGATGCATAGCAAATAGTCTTTTGAAACTGGTTGAAAATGAAGGAAAGAGTATAGCCATGCTCGTTTCCTGGAAGACTCCAAGGAAGAATTTGCAGAAGATAAAGGTTAACGGAGTAGAAATCGACTGGGGCTACTCCGCAAAGTACCTTGGCATCATGCCAGACCGTCGACTCATGTACGTTCGTCACATTAACAGCACTCGTGGCAGGACATACGGAGCTTTCATGTAACTAAAGCCCTTTTTTAACAACAAAGCTGTCTCCCAGAAGACCAAGCTGCGCACCTTCAAGCCATCATTCAAGAGCATCAGCACCTACGCTATACCAACGTGGGGAACTGCAAAGGGAAACCGAGTAATGGCATCCAAGGCTCTTTCGTGAAGATACTAAAGTCGGTCCTGGATATTCCTTGGCACATCAGAAATACTCAGATTATCAGGAAGCTCAACATTGTTCCTCCAATTCAAGCAGCCCCTGTCCTCGCGTCTTAAATCCACGCTCCATTACCCAAACCCTACCATCACCGCACTCGCGAACCTCCAACTCGAGCGCTTGAACCTTATGCAACGTTTATGCACTCTCGCATGGAACCCTGAGGACCCCCAAAATACTCTAGGTCTTTCATTCCCCATGCCTCCATCAGATGCATCTCCATCGTCTCGCCAAATAACCGCAGCTTCAATTCGTACGCTTCTTTCAGGAGCACCCATCTGTCTGCCGTATCCTTTACGGGATCAATCCTATACAACACTTACACTAATCCTAAGTATACTTTCAACCACACAATACACAGTGGAATCACAAAACACACACACACACATACAATAACACCAAATTTAAGCTTCTCCAACTAGACTTGTGCAGTTGGCACCCGTAAATATTAAATATTAATATTTTGCACCCATTCAGGGCTTAAACGATTCCTCTTTACTTGCGGATGTATCCTCCACTTGAATTTTTATTTGCGGATCAACATTTTGCGAGATATTTGCAAAATAAAAAGTCGAAAATGGGCGTGGCGCTGGAGTATAAAAAACTTTGTTTCAAGTGTTAAATTAGGTTAAAATCCAATTCTACCTGTACGGTTCGATTCCTCCTCATTTGCGGATTACGGAGATATATAAATTAATGTTATTAAAAATCACAAAGTTTGTAAATAATGAATTTAATTATTGAGTGAGAGAATCTAGTAACTTTTGTCTAGTGACTTTTGGTCCAGTGCTCCGTTCCTGTTGTTCGGTACATGTCATTTCCTCCGTACAGCGGGTTCTACAAAATATTAATTATAATAGAAAACTTAAGTAGGTATTAATCTATTAATTATTAGTTATAAGTTATTTAAATTTTGGGTCAATACACACACACACATATTTTAAATACTTCAAACTCAAGGAAAAATTTATTTGTCAATAGGTACAGATTTTTCATCTTAAGAATCTAATATCTGGAATCTATTGTGGCAAACACTGTGAACTGATATTTATTCATTACGCGCGAAATTTTAATATTTGTTGTTATTCAAGAAACAAATAACAACACAACTAAAAAGTAGCAGTACAGCTATAATCATTACAAGACAAGCCTCAGCTAAGCACACAAGTAATAACTTTGTTTGGGCAAGTTTTAGAAAACAGCTCAAGCATTCAAATTCCGCGCGTAAATGATCAATCAGGCGAATTGAAGATCAAGTTACCAACCAGTGGAAACGAATAAAAGTGACACAGGCTGTGTTCGCCGAAGGCTCTGTGTGTTATTAAGTCTGTTAAGGTCACGTGATCATTTATTATAAATGCGAGGGAGACAGCATGATGTCACCGTCTTACTTGCACGTATCATAAATGATCACGTGATCTTAACAGACTACAAACGGAGCCAATGCAAACACAGCCTCTGTAATAAATTTACAAGTACTTAATTTTAAAAATGTTTATTAAATAGGTTTACTCTAGATTGCATAGTCATCGAAAAATGTGTGTGTGTGTGTGTGTGTATTGACCCAAAGGCTAAATAACTTATAACTAATAATTAATACATTAATACCTAGTAAAGTTTTCTATTCTGATAAATATTTTGTAAAACCCGATGTACGGAGGAAACGATATGTACCGAACAATAGGAACGGAGCACTGGACCAAAAGTCACTAGACAAAAGTTACTAGATTCTCTTACTCAATAATAAAATTCATTATTTACGAACTTTGTGACATTTAATTACATTAATTTATATACCTTCGTAATCCGCAAATGAGGAGGACTCAAATCGTACAGGTAGAATTGGATTTTAACCCAATTTAGCACTCAAAACAAAGTTTCTTATACTTCAGCGCCTCGCCCATTTTCGACTTTTTATTTTGCAAATATCTTGCAAACTATTGATCCGCAAATAAAAATTCAAGTGGAGGATAAATCCACAAGTAAGGAGGAATTATTTAAGCCCTGAATGGGTGCAAAATATTAATATTTAATATTTACGGGCGCCAACCTTACAAGTCTTCTCCAACTCTGTTCCGGCGCAAGCCAAGATTCGAGCTTCATCCAGATGCAGAAATAACCCTTCTTTCATTCCCTTGAGAGTGAGCTGGTCCCCAAAATTCTCTGTTATTTTCTTTTTGTGTGAACAAACCAGATGAAAACTACCCCTATGTAATAAAAATCTAGACTGGGCCAAAAAAACTTTTTTTGTACACATCTTGAGCCCAATAACAAATGCTACCACTTTCAAACAAAAAAAATGTCAGCAAAAAGTCCAAAAAAAAAAAACAAATAGCCAAATCAGGTTTTTCGCTTATGTCAGAAAAGCTGTAATTCGGCCAAAAAACGTTCTATGTGAAAAAGATGCGTAATTTCAAGATAAACAAAATGAGCCCTGGTGAACCCAAATCGGCTTTCCCGTTTTTCCGCTAATTGCCAAAAAGTGCCAATTTCACCATGTTTTTCAGTATTTCATAGGTGAAGTTCTAATAAATATTTTGACTTCAAATTTTAACAGAAGATGGATTTTATGATTCTTAACAAAGCTACAAAATTTTAAGACGATCGAATGTAAACTTTTTTTAAACCGTCAAATAAACTTAAAAAAGGTCCTTCGGAAAAATGACTCTAAAAAAGTTGTTAGACCACATAAAACAATTTTTCAAAATGTTTTGTTTTGCGATACATTTTTAGGGTACTTACGAAAAAGTGAGACATACAAAAATTACACCAGTGTTAGATTAACATTTTATTAAGAGAAAACATTTTGAAAAATTGTTTTATGTGGTCTAACAATTTTTTTATAGCCATTTTTCAGAAGGACCTTTTTTTAGTTTATTTGTCAGTTTGCAACAAGTTTACATCCAATCGTTTCGAAATTTTGTAGGTTTGTTAAGAATCATAAAACCCACCTTTTGTTAAAATTTTAAGTTAAAATATTAATTAGAACTCCAGTTATGAAATATCGAAAAACAGGGTAAAATTGGCACTTTTTGGTAATGTGCGAAAAAACGGTAAGGCCGACTTGGGTTCACCAGGGCTTACTTCCGATAGAAGCCAAAAACCTAATTCGGCTATTTTTACCATTTTTTTAGACCTTTTGCTGACATTTTTCTTTGTCCAAAAGTGGTAAAATTTCTTATCAGGCTCGAGATCTATAGAAAAAAAATTTTTTCGTCCGAGTCTGGATTTCTTAGTCAAAAATCTAGTTTGCTCACACTACTCCTTCTCTCTTCTCTTATACTTTTTTTGTCTTTTAGGGGAGTGGTCCGAACGGACCTGTCCCATGGGGGGAGGTTAGTTTTTAGTCGGTAGGCATACCAGGTGAATCAGATCCTACTACCGGATTAGCTGCGGTGTCGATGAAGATTTTCTTCTCCTCGCTCCATCAAGAAACAAAAAGGAAGCACATGCGTGTGTGAGTGATAAATTCTAACAAAAATTTTTATTTACTTTTTGCGTGGAATATGGCCAACTTGCTTTTTTTGAAAACTTCACATAGTAGATGACAAGTTTACATCAATTAAAAAATTTTTATAACTCACCCATAATCATTAATTTTAGATTTTGATGATAACCCACGCTTAAATAATTGATGGGGAACCCGCATGAGTTCTCATATGGTTTCCGGGCGATTTTCCAGATAAGCTCCCAGGTAGGTCTCCACGTGTCATCCCATATAACGTTTTGATACGGAAAACCATATGGGCTTTTATGTGGGTTCCCTGATGACCAAAAAAGCTTATTTAGAATTTTTTAATTGTAAAGGAAAAATATGTACATAATCAGTTTGTTTGTATAAATAAGGTATTTC